TATATATATATACATATATATATATGCATACATACAAACATATATATATATATATATATATATAAATAAGGACATACAAATTACATAGGTATTGAACATGTACACTGGACAAAGTATCCCAAAAAGCCGTTGGCGGGAGTCTGGCATACCCTTGCTTTGACGTCAACGTGACCAGAAACTTGATGTCCCCCGAGCTCATCTCCAATCTTCAAAGCGCGTTCAACATTGACTTTATCGCCAACAGCTAACGCCCCGAGATTGGTTTTGTTTAGTGATTCCTACATGTGCATGCAATAACAGGAAACCAACGTTAGTCGCGATGAAAATATAGAAGCCAAGGGTGGTACACATACACAAGATTTACATGTATATACGTAAGGTATGATCAGGCTGGTGAAATATACGTATTCGACTGTTTTAGATTTTGGAAGCCAACGCCACCATGGCGCATACAAAGTTTAACAAACGACCAGCAACTAAGTCGAAGTATATTGATATGATAAATCTGAAGCCATTGTGATGGTTATGTGCAAAACTGGTACCTCAAACAAAATAGCAGGAAGTGTGATTTGTAAAAAAACCCCTTGGACTATCGTACGTAAGAAGAGAGCTGGACTACAACATCGCATGACATGTATGGACCAGGAGAGATAGATAATGCGATCGACATAACCCAATGATCAAGCACGGAGATCGTAGAGGGCGTTAGTACTACTTGTTTTGAAAGCGAGGATGCTCTGTCTATACCCACCAGTCTAATCCGGAACAAGTATATCTCGTCAGTTTAAACCTGACACTCGGACTGATAGTACCAGTGATACGTAAGTACTGCTTAACTGTTTGTTATCATTCGGTACTGGAAACCGATGGTAATTATATACTGTACCGCTACGTTCAATAGTTGTGCGTATAACATAACTCAAGTGGGCCATATATATATATGTACATGAACATACGGGTGTAGAGAGCACTAAGGATAAAACCATTCACAAATATACCTACCGAACAGGCAGAAGACCAAAAGCAGGATGAATATACCAAACCGACATAGCACGTTTAATGTAAGATATATTGCAGTGAAGCCATATGTACCACGACCATCACACATAGGTTGAAACAAAACTACCGAATCCATATACTTCTACGAACAGTAGATAAAATAAAGGTTTAAACTCACATGTGGACTATATACGATTTGAAATGTAGGCTTTACTAGACTGACACATCGTGTGTATAAACTCAATATACACCTTTTCTTATTACCTGCATAATATCGAAAGAAACCTCCATATTCCCAGACGAATCGGCCTCGAACTTCACCACAGTCATACACGCACCGTTGAGTGAGATACTTGCACCTAATGTACAGAAAGTGATTGAAAATTGAATGGACCAGAAATAGATTCAACACATCAACTTGATATGTGTGTATTCGTACATATCTAAATCTAAATAAATCTGAATATTATCCTATTTCTTTCTCTATATTTATATATAT